TGATGATGATGATGATGATGATAACGCTATTCATGATGTTGTTAAACTCTTGCTCGTTACTTTTACTCTCTACTGATGCTATTCATATTGATATTGCTATTAGTATTGGTATTGCCCCAAAGGGTTATTTTATATTGTATTGTATTGTACCAATACGTTCTATATCGTCTTCTTCCTCTCTCAGTTCTTTCCCCTTTCTCTGTCTCTGAATAGGATTGCTTGCTCAAGTACATGTACCATTACTATCTCCTTTTTTCTTTGTCTTTCCTGTTTATTTGATTCATCAATTGAATTTGGTTGTATGTGTGTTTGGTTGATGGCGGGTGATGTTGAATTGTTTCAAGGTTGAAGGTTGTGCGTCCGCCTAGCGGCAATTTATTTGGGAACACACAGCATATAGAGGGCAACGCAAAGCAGTGGACGGATAATATTGTATTCTATTGTAGAAGATATGAACATGAAAATGATGTGTGATGATGATAGTGTTGTAGGTCGACGATGCTAACTTTATGCTTCGTATAACGCTTACGGGCTCTTTCCTTACTGATTTCTGCCTACCTTTTCTCTGGCTCACTCTATTGGATTTGATTGAGTTCCCCTCTGCCTTCATCCCTTCTCCCTTTCTGCTTCTCGACTTCTCTTCGGTAAACACCATCTCTCAGGCAACCGTCATCGTTGCTCACCTCCCGCGTTGTGCATTCATCATGGTCACGTATTGTCTTCTTTGCTTGTCTTTTTACTGTGCTTTTCATGTGTGTTAGTGTGTATTCATGAAATGCGTACTGTTTACTGTTTGTTGCCCTTGAAAGCCCGTAAGGCCGTCAGTCAGTGGGTGCGTCCCCTTGCCCCGAGCAGCAATCAAAGCGCAGTCATCAACCGATCCATCGATCGTCGACTCACTGAGCCAGTGAGTCATTGTCCCCGTTCCTCTTCCCATTACCATCCTCCCCTCTCCCATAATTCACCCCGCCGTGTTTTTAGCTACTATCTCTCTATCGCTTCTAATCTAAAATTAAACACAATGAAACGATGTATTGTCGTTGGCGGTTACTTTCTGTTATAACCTTCTTATTGCTTATTAGAATGTCTTCGATGGTTCTTGATGTACGAAATGCTGTTAATTACGAAGAAATGTAGAATAGATAATGGCTGTTGATATATTACTATGTGTATGGTATCATGTTATGTTAGCCTACAAGCAGACAGGCAATGCCCTACGGGTCTATCTATAATATATGACCACACACGACAGAATAACGTCTCATTTTCATGATGATGATTATTACTGTTATTACTATACGTTATTATTAAGTAATTTCGCCTGAGGCGATATCAAAGATTACTTCGACTGAGTGTACAAGGGTAGTATGCGTCCACTGAGATAGCATAGTTGTATGATAGGACTGTCACAATTGTGCTGATCAGAAGCAGTTCCCTTTCTTTCCGTTGATCATTGTAACAACAATAGTAATGATGAATATAATTATGAATGTTCGAGGATACGCGCATTTCGGGAATGAATTAACATGAATGGAAAATTACCTTTAAATGCGTGGTATTGATATTGCGATTAATAGGAGTGTATAGTAATAGCAAGTAAATATGAATAAAAATGATAATATTAGTGACAGGGTGGTTTGGGAAACAGATATATTAGTAATAGCAATATAGTCATAATGAAAGAAGTTAGGTAGATTGCATAGATTCATTAGTACAATGATGTGGTATTTGGTGTTTTGAGTATTTACGATTGTTCTTTATTAATTTATTGTTGAATATTGTTGTCAAATAATGAGTGGTGGAAGGAAACTTACAGTGTGGTAAGGCAAGAGGGCGCATGTGTGATTGATAGGAAATAAAATTAAAAGTTAAATTTTGTTTATTTATTTTTCATTTTTTATTCAGTTCATCTAGAAAGATTACGTAATGGTTGTTTTTGTCAGTAATTCTATAGTAATAAAGTTTATCTCCCCACACGCGATTTCAGTCCATTCGGACAACTTAAATAATTTGTTGAGTTTTATGAACGAGAGTCATACATAGACATTGATGGGGATGAGGGACGAGGGCTTGAATGAAGTAAAGCAAAACAACTGATTCAGCACTGAAATGGAATGAAGAAATATAATCGCTGGCGTTGTTTTGCTTTCAAATGCGATTGTTCACTGGGTTCAGTGAGTGAATGAACACATTTTGAGGTAGATTCATTCATGAAGCGCGATTACACCACTCACTTTTAGACCTTTTTGCGGTGCTGTCTGAATCGAGTATAAACGACTCGATCCTATTTTCCAGTATAATCACGCATTGCAAACATCCCCTCATTACTCAATCATTCTTTTGTAGGGAAAAACCATATTTAGATATTGTTGCGCTATTAATAATTGTTTGTGTGTTATTAATTTTACAATTTATATTATTAGTATTGTTTATTTGTGTGATATGAGTTCAACATTTAATGATATGTGATGAGATCGGATAACGTGATTTTGCACATAAAGCGATTCGTAATGATGATGATAATAATAGCTATAATAAACTGTATAAGTTGTTGTTACTAGTACCTTTATTGTTATTGTTGTTGCTGTTTCTGTGAATTAATCTCGAGATGAATTATATGGAAATAAATTTCAGTATGCTAATGTTACCATCAGTACGCGATCGGTCGGCAATAGACCGTATAAGCACTCAGTTGCAAAAGCGTTTGACCAATAACAGCAAGCAACAACAGTGTGTGACCTCAAAAATGGACTATAATAGTAGAAAAGAGATTGTTGATGATAATAGTACAAATGACAATGTAAAAAGAAGACGTTTATCGTTTACGGGTGAAGATTCAATTGTTGCAGAAGGTAATGGTAAAGGAGTAGAAGAGGTGGAAGTGCTGGCTGAGTTTGAGGCTGGTTGTGCAGATATTCAACGCTTGAATCCAGCTTCGTCTGAAAGATGTGTTGATGGTGCTATAGAGGAGAGCACTGATGGAATTATTGTCGAAGGACGAGAACTCGGCAAGGGTGCTGCTGATCCAGGATCAACTAGGATACCTCGAAGACCAAAAAAGCGATTTTTTCCTGGAGAGGGAGGAACTGATCAAAAGGCTTCAGAATGCGGACTGGCGGGTTCAGTGCAGCCGGGTGGTTCAGGGTCACCACTATCGTATTTATCGGGAGCAGTTGATCTCGTGCAATTAAGACATCTATTGTTATTGAACTCAAGAAATTGTATGGGTAACAATTATTTGAATAATAGCGGCAGTATTGATAAAAATAATAATGCGAACTTAAAGCAGACAACTCAACAGAATGGTATTGATGCAACATTCCTGATGGACGACAACTGTTCTTACAGTTATGATAACAAGCAAAACGATACTGACAATAAATCGGTAACGTTGACGCAGTCCTCATCAGCACCAACCATTGTCAGCGCTAAGAACTCGTCACCATCAAATATTATCGCTGATAAGAACTTATCATCCTATCACAATCGTTTATCACTTCCATCCTCCTCATCCCTATCATTTTTATCGCCAACATCGAGCAGTAATATTTCCACATATCCAGCACCATCGGCTGCAACTCAGTTAGTGAACACGATTATCAATAAGACAAAGAATATGACAACGTCAACTCCAATAACGATTAAGTGCAAAAGTCAGCCTCAACTAGTTGTAACGTCAGATAGAACGTCAAGTAATGGGCTTGCGCATGGGTTTGGGAAAGCTTCATTTACCGAGGCAAAGACAGAGATAGATGAGGGACGGCTTGGAGGGGGAGGGGGCACAACAGCGACATCGACACATAATGGAAGCAAAAATCTAATTGAAACTATCTTCAATCGAGTCATCAGCGGTGCGCAAGCTAGTGGTATCAAGGAAAGTGCTGATGGTGTTAACAGTCATACGTTGATCAAAAACAATGAGTCAGAATTGAAGAGATCGTTGACAGCGGCTGAGATCTTGAATGCCATGCGTGCGCAATTATTGGATAATCATAAAACGGTGAGAGTTAATGATATTATTAATAGTCATTGTGGATAATACGGTGTATAAATGATAATAAAAAAACTTTTATAGCAGCAGCAGAAACAACAACAGCGTCTATTTTCAACAACAGCAAAAAATGTAGAAGGAACTGGTGGTTCTGAGGTAATTGCTCAACATGATGAAAACGTTTTAGATGAGGATCATTTCTCGGATAGTGAATCTTCTGATCAAGGCACTAATGAAGGTACTATTACATTTTCATATTATTATTTGCATTATATGAATGTATTGTTTATATAATATTATACGTGAGACTGAAGGGTTTGTTGTCACCGTTTGCATGAATCATTAAAGCAATACGACGAAAGTAACTCGCCACTGTTTACTGTCAGTCAAAATTACATTTTAAAGGTGATTCATCGTGTACCCAAACTCCACCACCACGAGGCTTAGTGCCATCGACCGAAGGCGAGGGATTGCAAATGAATTTACACGATGTGTTTTGCTCAGTACCCGGTCGACTCTCTCTTCTGTCGAGTACGAGTAAATATAAAGTTACGGTTGGTGAGGTGAGTTGCTGTCGTTTTCTAGTTATTATTATTATTTATTATTGTTATTATTATTGTTTCATCTATTGATTTTTGAAGAAAAATAACCAAGTGCTCGGGTTAGGAATAATAACAAATGATGTTAGTTAAACTATTGCTAATAACGTTGATCAACACGTGGTCATAGTTGTGCGATTAAGTGAAGTCAGGAATACCTAGGGGGTTGTAGGGGAATTTTTTGATGTGAATTGACTCGATTCGATGTTGCAGTTACAACGACGATTATCACCACCCGAGTCGTTGAATGCGTCAATTTTGGGAGGAATCTTGAGGAGGTATCTGAACTTGTTCTAAAAATTTTATTTGATGATGAAAGCTTATTGTGGATCTTGATTGTTTTAGACACTTTAGATGCCGAATTTCTATCTCGTAGCATGTCACTTTGCAAAACTTGCACCGTATCACTCAATTGCCTTTTTTCTTGTATTTATATTATTTATCATAACATTTACTTTTTCGAACTTAATACGATATTGTTGATGAGATGTTAATGTAATATGTATTTGTTTGTTGATTACTTGGCTAAAATTTAAGTTGCATTTATTAATCAGATATCGTTCATACCATGTACTTGTTATCATTTCATAATTTCACCTTTTCTATTTATAGCGAATTTAATGAATTTCTAATTTTTTTATTCTGTTGATATTGTAGAGCAAAATCAAAAAATGGTGGCAAGTCACTGAGAGATTCGCTGGAAAAAATTGGTTTAATATTACCAGCTGGAAGACGAAAGGCGGCCAACGTTACATTGTTAACGTCGCTCGTTGAGGGTATTAATTTTTGACATTCATTTGTAGTCCTTTTCTTGATAGTGATAACATAGTCATGATGATGATAATTGACATTGATACTAATGATATTTATAAATGATACTGGTGAGTAGTGTTTTTGACCGGNGGGGGGGGGGGAGGAGAGAGATAGTTCCCGCGGAGAGGAATCCGTCCATGGAGCCGAATCTTTGGGTGTGGGGCTCATCGGATAGTAGCTGCGTCGGGAAGAACAGGGAGCACTTCACCGCTATTTTAAAGAATATTTCTACTGTCGACGTGCAGCTCCGACAGGAAAACGAAAACGTTGTTCAGTGACAATGCGTTCTGGACCACGGCTTCTGATGAACATGGGGGAACAGCAATACTTAAACAGACTGGATCGAGCATTCGGTTCGGGGAATTACTGTTTCACTTTTGCAGCATATGCAAATAAACCATCGTTCCGGATCCTCATTAGCGCTTCAGTTAGCACCGCAATCGCGCGCTAGGGTCGAAACACCCTGTTCCTACGTTGTTTCAATGCATTTTCAAAATCTGCAGAATGTAAAACCCTTACAAATCTACTTCTCTGATATGAAATTTGATTGCAGTGAATGTAAACTGCCTTCACAAACACTTTTCTGCACTAATCCGCCATTTGCACAACACACCTAATTTCATTTCTGCATAAGTCCGGTGAATTTCGGTCCGCATGGACTGAACGTATCGAATTCTCTACGATGCCCTGAGAATGAAGCATTGAATACGTTTGCGAAAGGATACAGAACATGCAAGTGGCGTATAGGAGGTACATAAAAAGGAGAAAAAACAACTATAAATATACGTGACGCACAAACAAGGGTTTACGTTAAGTGTAAATTAATAGTCTTATAGTGTTGACGATTTATAATTTTGTAGGGTGTGTATTAGAAACGATAATGTTAATGCATGATAATACTAGTTACGATGAAATTATTATAATAGTAATAGTAGTAATGATAATAATAACAATAATAATAATAATAATTTAGGTGAGGCAATCCATATGGCGAAAGATTTTAGTTTTGCATGCTCAACAGAATTTCCGTCTCGGCAGATAGCTGAATATACGCAGCGCGACTTTGCGGCATTATCGGATACGGAGATTGAAAAAAGACGTGAAAAACTGAGAGCTGCGAGGTTGGACTGTTAATTTATTATTTTATTAATTTATTAGTTCATTAGTTTGCTGGTATTAATTGTTTACATTTTTGTTATAGGCTTGTGTTGAAGGAGTTTATGGAAGTATTGCAATTGGATCGAAGTCCATTGTTGAATAATAAACCTAATCCGGTGCTCGGCGATTGCTTGCAGAAGCCCATGACAAACTTCTCGTTGGTGACACACGGCTTTGGAACGCCAGCGATATTAGCAGGTTAATGTTACAATTATTTTTTATTGTTATTATTAATGTTTATTACTGTTATTATTATTATTGTCGACGTTATTATTAATCATATTTTTTATTTTGACAATTTTAGGAATGACAACATTCATGAATTTTTTGCAAGAATCATTAGATGTGCTCAACAGTGCGCAGTACGAGAATGATTTACAAACAGCTGTCAATAATGCAGATTCATCGTTGGCTGCAGCCTTATCATATCAGCTGATGAAAATCAACGCAAGTCAAACACCACCGACTGTCACTAATAAAATTTTTTAGTTTCATTACCGTTATTAATGTTTTTAAAATTGTCATTTGGTAATTATCATCACCATCGGTATGTCACACATATCAAACCTTCGATTAGTGCAATCTTTCACTTATCGCGTTGCCCATTATTCGAGTATCATTAGCATCATTATTATTAATGTATAATAATAGTTACATTATTAGTATTATTGTGGTTGTTGTTCTTGAGCATTGTTATGGTTATTTGACTGATTTCACTTTCATTTTTTGAGAAGGTTCGTTTAAATCTCCAGTTGGAGAAATGTTTTTTCTTTCACTTACTCTTCAATTGTTGGCTCATTATATCTCTTTATATCACTTACTTCTCTTTGGCTTGGTTTCATTTGTGTTGTATTCGAAACGTTTTAAGGAGCGATATTTTTTGAATTTAATTTGCTTGTTAGGTTGCTTTAATTTTGTTTGAATTTCATCATGCTTTTTCTAATATTATTATCACCATTCAATCTTATAATTATACTTTTATTGTTTTTATTGTATTATCTACCTACTGTCGTCTACCTACCAGATTCTCCTATGAAGCTCCCAGAAGAACGGCACACCTGACTCGATACTATCTGTATGGGAATTGTTACGGGCGTCTTATGCAATTGGTTCTTATAAATAATATTAATAATGATATTTAAATGTTTATTTATTATATTGTTATTATTATATTTGTATATGCGTATTATTGATTTCATTCATCAAGGTTAAAGGTATATAGGTTTAAAACTAGGGAAACGGGAAAAGTTGTTCGGCGAGTTTAGAAGTGTGGTGATGTGTATGTCATTCAAATGGCATTTAATTGAGAAATTTTGAACTTGGCTGATTTCAATTACTCATTTGATTTATTAAATGGGTGGTTCTTAGATTGGGTTTTATTTTTAGTGATTGTTTCTTCAATATTATCATTGTTGTTACGATAAAGATATTGATCCATTATTGTATACATAATGAGTGTGTATATTTTCTTGATTACCGCAATCATTCATACAGCAAATGAGTTGCTATTGTTTAGTTATTTATATAGCAGTGCTTATCTCAGTATGTGTATAAAGATATCATTTATACGTAACTGATTCATTTAGTCACGTACACGTTTGTTGATTGATCTTGGATGCCTTATTTTTATTTGATTGTCTTCATATGGCACACACACGGAGTGACGAGTTATTGTTGTTGTAATTGATATGTTGATTTCTATCGAGAAATGTTTGAATTGGAATGTGCAATTTAAAAGTTTTAGTTTGCTGCTAATTGAGTTTTTGCTAACTCTCATTCTAATTCGGAATCGTTTTTTTGGTTGTTAATATTTTTCATTGTTGGTTTTATTAATGTTGTTGTTGTTCACTTGACTGATAACCTTGACTCATTCGTTCACTTATCGCTTTTCGTCCGATTATATTCTCGTTTTTTTTTTTCATTGGTGATTTTGTTCCTTTCATATCAATTAATTTTTTCCCAAATTATAACGACAGAAAAATTGTTTGAAGTTTGCAGTTGCATTTTTAATTGTAATGAAAATAAACAAAATCTTAATAATAATAATTTGAACGGCAGTAATACTCATAGTTATGATAATTTTAGTCCAATAATAATAGTAAGTGTGTATGTATAATAGCAATATTATTGTTATTATTATAAAGGTTGTAATTACCGTTTGTGTTGCCAAGCTTCGTGATTTGTTGCTGAATCAACTAGCCGAATGCTCTATCCATATTTTGTTCATGGTCTGGTTTTTATTTATTTTTGTAATTACCAATTTCATCGTTAGTTTGTACGTGTTTTTTTTTCCAACTGATTTATCTTCGAATTTATTGAAGGATGATTTCTAACATACAATATTAATTATTTATTTCACGACTGCTTGAGATCGTGAAATAAGTAATTTCTATTCAGAAATCAGTATTCAAATTGTGGTATAATAATTTGATAAGGAACACTATTTTTGAATGTGATATTATCAATGATGGCAAGCACAAGCTGAACAAAGACATGCACGCGAGCTCATGAAACTCAACAAGTTGTGTGAATTGGTGACCAATGATCGAGCATAGTCGCCTTTTTCCAGAGGCGAATACGCTCGATCATTGGTCTCGAATTGAGAGAACACGAATACTGTTGACTACCACTGACAGTTCACTTGTTTTTTATTCAGTTTAATGGTGTAGCGATTTTTGATGCCCACTCATTTATCAATTTCTCTTAGAATATGGCATTACAGAGCGATTCATTTTAGACTCTTCCATTCAAATTTAGGCTAAGGCTTGCCTGTTAGGCTGAAAATTAAGTGTATATGTGGATTTATGTTTAGGCTTAGACGTTTAAGGGCCCAAATTACATAAGTGTTTATTGGTCGCCATCATAGGCGTGCAAATTGCTGGCATTTCTGATCAGTTGTTGTGTACGTGATTAAATTCATTGATTTTGAAGTTGTGATCAAAATGAATTGATTAATTAATTAAGGTGTTGAATTGATGATTTGCTACGAGCCGTCAGTGGGTGGACCAATAGACGTTATGTCTTGTATTTCGTTATTGTGTTGTCAAATTTTTCTTTTTAGCGATTTGTGCGCATAAATGGGCCTGGGTACTTGTTTAATTTCACTTAGCTGGTGTCTATATTTAAAATTTTAATCGTTTAAGTCAACAACATTGCATTTTATTTCTTTGCAAATCAACAGTTGCGTGTTATCAACTCCCTTACCTACCCAGTTCCATTGTTATCAAAATTTATCTGTCTCGTCGTAGACTTCCCTCTACAAAAACCGTATTCAACAACTGCCCATTCAATTGCCAACAACTGTCTTGTAGGCTGGTAGCTTGGCATTTCTTATAGTAATTTTTGAATTTGAATGGATTAACTTGAGATGTCCGGGCGATCTTGTATAGATTTCGATTACCTGATGATCGTTGAATGTGAATCGTTTAAGTAACTGATCAACCGACGGTTGGCTGATCGCAATGTTGAGTTCCATCTTCACTTATACAGCATACATTTGAGTGAGTGATAGATATCTTGTTTTGACAGTGCTAACGGTGAAGGGCGACACTCACGACCGATAGGTATATACACAATGACCAGTGGTAGCGCAGATATCGTGGTTTTTGGTAGTATTGTTCAAGATTTAGTGAGGTCAGTTCTATCGCTTATTTGTTCGTTCGTTTGTTCTTATTTAATTTTATTATTGCTGATCTATTTGTTTGCTTATGATTTATTGTTGATCGCTAATTTACTGCAATTGTAGCTATACGGAAAAATTCCCACGTCCCGGTGAGTCGGTCCGCGGTAAATTGTTCGAGTCAGCTCCGGGCGGAAAGGGTGCAAACCAGGCCACTCAAGCGGCACGACTCGGCGGACGTGTACTCATGATAGGCAAAGTTTGTTGATTTGTTGATGACAATTTTTGAAATTTTAATTTTTAGAGTTCGAATTTCTTTCTGTTTTCTTTTTGCACAAATTTCTGCACACATTGCACATATCTCACATTTTGGTTGTTTACCTTGCAGTTTGAACTGTTCTAATCATTTTAAATCACCCTTAAAATTGCCTGCCTGACCACGTTCAATTAATCCTCACATATCCATCAAAATAAATAACTTGCTATGTCGTATCGATTATTGATTTATTGGTGATCAGTGCTGCTATTGAAGGTTGGTAATGACACTTTTGGACCGTTGAATATTGAGGCGTTGAAGAAGAGTGGCATTCAAACAGATTACATAGGAATTAGTGAGACGAGTGGAACGGCGACTGCAATGGTTACAGTTTCAGACCAAGATGAGTTTTTCTGTCACGCAAATGATTTTTTGTTTAATCAACATAATTGTATACAAATATTTGTAGTTATATCACTGATCGTTCAATGTAATGCAATAGGTTTAATATCTGTGCATCGATAGACGTGTTTTTGTTTGTTTCAAGTGAAAACACAATCGTGGTAACGTTGGGAGCAAACCTTGAGATAGAACCATCACGAGCTGATCAAGTGGAAGCGGTTATAGCTGGGGCGAAAATTTTTTTGTGTCAGTACGAAATTAAAGTGGACACATTGAGGAGAGGGCTTGAAGTAGCGAAGAAAAACAACGGTTAGTGGGGTTACTGTTACTTTTCATTTATTCTTTGATTCATTTGGAAGTTTGTGAAATGGGATAGGTTCACGGGTGCATTCGTTTCTTTAAAATTTGATTAGATTGAGTGTTATGATAGCTACATTATAATCGATAGGTAGCGCGCGAGAAAATAATTGATGCATATCATTCATTAATGATCTTTTGAAAATGGCTTACTTTCTTTATTAGTCATCCCACTTCTCTTTCATTTAATATTTTATCCTTTCAGTACGCACGTTTTTCAATTTTGCGCCGGGTGAAGCCAATTTCGATAAATCAATTCTTCGTTACGTTGATATTCTGTGTACGAACGAGAATGAGGTTATTTATTCTTTTAAACGTTGTTTTTTTACTGAATGCATTCTTCGCAAAGAATACTTTCATTTTAACAACAACACTCATTCATTTACTAATTCAGTTTAATTGCTTCATTTAGGGACAGGAAGAAAAACAATTGAGTGAGTGTAATAATTAAAAGAATCTAGACCGAATTTTTGTCCGGAATGAGCGCAAAGACGGTTGACGATGCAAAGGAAGCATCAAAATCATTGTTATCCTATGGGCCGTCAGCTGTAATCGCTACGCTTGGCAAAAAGGGCTCCATTATTGCTACCGAACACGAAGTGAAGCATATCGAGGCCAACGTTGTTAAGGCCGTTGATACAACCGTATGTTTTGTTATTATTCATATTTACTGTTGTTGCTACATCCCATTTAAAACAATCACATGATCATTCAATTATTTGATTCTCATTTATTCGTGCTGTTTGCCTCTATAGGGTGCTGGTGATAGTTTTTGTGGTGCGTTAGCGTATTTCTTGGTCTATAAACCCGAACTGTCATTGGACGAGCAAGTCAGGCGTGCGTCGTGTATTGCCGCAGTATCCGTGCAACATCGAGGAACTCAATCATCGTACCCTTGGGCTAAAGATTTACCCTCTGATTTGATGAGGTGATTACGATAACAATGATAACGGTGGACGGTGAATTGGTATTAGTCGATGATTTGATGAATCTGATTGAATTGTTGATAGGTGTAAAAGTGATGATTTAATCTTGTGTTTCAATCATTTTCATTTTCATTTGCTTAGAAGTAATAGGAACTTAGCTTACAGTCATAATCGGGGTTATTCCATTGACAGTCATAATCGGGGTTATTCCATTAACATGCAACTTTTTTTTCAAAATGCATCAAAACAGAGAATTTCATATAATAAAGAAATCGCCGGAGAGTTTAGCACAAAGCTCGATCTAAACTAATCAGTTCATGTAACATAACGCGAAGTTTGAATGATAATGGTAAAGGTAATGTGGGGTGAACCTAAACCTATGACTTAGCATAGGAAGTTAACGCTTACTTACAAAAAAGGATGCCATTTTGTTAGTGACTTGGCCCGTACCAGTACGTTATTTGCACTTGAATAATGGTTTTTGTGATTTGGAAAAAAAACGTTGCTTGCGAGTGAAGACGAATTTCGATGATCGCTTCTTATCCAAGATGTTGCTACCGTAGTTGTGAGCGCAGTGTTCATTGTTACTTCGTTGTTGTTCGGTCGATTAATTCATCCATCACAGTTGAGAATGGCCGGTTGATTTTAATGTTCACTTTATTTTTGTCATTATTCATTAAGAGTTGAATATTCGTTAATTAATTCACTTGTCAAATTGTTCGTTCATTATGGATGTTTCGTGCCATTCTTATTAATCTGTTCCGGTTCTACTTCTGATTGCTCACTGTTATTATATCACTGTTGTTATTATTGTTCTTGTTATCACTGTTATTATATACATTTAAAATAGTATCAACAGCGAAAGGAAGTCTAGCAAAGAATATTTGATAATTCCTAGTGATTTGCTTAACTCTAATTTAGGAGCTCATCACATTATGCTACCTATCAAACTCATTCTATTGTTATCAAACGATGTTCGTCCAGTTATGTTATTTTGAAAAATGTCAATTCAAAAAGAGACTTTTCATTAAAATCGCTATTCCCCTTAACGTTTACTAGTGATCTAGTGAGTCTGAAGATTAGTTTGGGATAGTGGGAACTCTGAATGAACATACTTCTAAAATAGCTCGTCGCGTCGTAAGTTTGCTTATAGATGTTAGGGAGGATAAAAAGCAACAGAGGGTTTGAAGCAATAATGGTTATTGTGATTCACTGATCAATAACGATGCAGATAGTAATGAGAAAAGAAAAATATGTGATAATAATAACTCAAAGTGATACTTGTTTGAGAAGGTAATTTTAAGGAGAATGAAATAACTAGATTATCTGGATTGAGCAGGCTAACAAACACTCGTAACGTTGCTGACCCTAATGCATTTCTCTTCTCATTGTTTTAACCTTAAGTGATGCCAACCCGCTGGCTACGCGGACAGGCCAACCGAACACAAGCACTCATCAACTGAGTAATCAACTAGTTGCGGTAAATACTCTGCATAATTAAACTTAGCTGAATACCAATCCAGTAAATAATCGTAACTCTAATAAACATTCTGTTGACTGCCCAGAGCGATCGGCAAAGCAATCACTCAGTGTAGAAAAATCATGTAACTGCTTAGATATGAAGTATGTTTATGGAGCGGATAAAAAACGTTAACGCAGGGTGAGAAATGGGGGAGGTCAGGTTTGATTTCCATCCATTCATGTTCACTATTGATGAGAGGAGGTGATGATTGTTTTTTGATTTTCTGTATGGCATTTCTAGGAATTTTCGGTTGTTTACATTCGTGGATAACTTCACACCACTACTGTCTACGACACACTTTGGAGCTCCATCAAGCCCCTTCGGTGATCTCGCGGGTCTTATCACCCACCCCGTTACAAGAACGTACTATTTTAACGAATTTAATCTTGAAAGACGGTTGAAAACGATACGCCTGAGTATCTCATTCATCGTTCAGTTGCTTATGATACAGTTCCAAAATAATTCGTGAATTTGATTGAAATTGATTCTTCTTTCTTTTCTTAGGTGTTCACTGATGTTAATATTACAAAGAAATTAGAAGGTTACCATGGTTTTCCTACGACGTCAGCTGTGTTATACTGGTGGTGTCGATTCCAGAAATGATAATAATGATGACGATAGTGGTAGTGGTAATGATAATGGTAATAATAATAATACAACAGTAAAAACAATAATGACAGAGCACTGAATTTAACGTTTCGGCACTAAGGCCATCGTCAGGTTTTTATTACTAGAACGTTAGTGATACATATGTAGCGAATAATTAGTTTGATTATTTTTGCCTCCGAACAGGATCACGATAATAGTCTAAAAAATGGTGATGGTAATGCTTGTGAAAGAAAGAGGGGATATGTTAGCAGTGATAAATGATTTGATAAAATGTTGATGAAAATGTGTGATAAGTGGAATTAGCGCTTATGCGCAGGTGCAGCGGCTTCACCGTTTCCCCCATATCTCTCACCACATTTACATTCATTGCATTGCAAGCCCAGTTCTGTTTGTTGGACAGATTACACAATTAGGGCATTTATTATTAGAAAACCGAGATTCAAGGGTAGTAAGATACCTATATGTTTATTGGCAAACCTGAGGAGCACGACCCCTCCAATATTATGATCGACCAATGCTTCGGGTATCACAGACCAAATCTGAGTGACATACCTTCAGAAAGTTGAGATCTCTCAATAATGGGGAAGGGGAGACGATTGATCGGTGAAAATATTTTTTCAGAGGGATGAGATTCTCCTTGATTTAACAGTACCAAAATATTAATGTATAAATTGGCAAACCTGAGGATAAGAGTTCCTCTAATGCTGTGTTCGACAGGTGCTTTGGGTATGTTGAGAACGAATTTATTCCTCTCTATCAGACTTTATAAGAACAATCAAAATTATTTATTATGGAATCATTTGTAGTCTTTAGCAAAATGAATCAGTTGGTTCTATTTAGTAAAATGATTAATATTGATTAATTATAATTTTTACAACAACAACAATAACACGATGATTCACGATAAGCACCTTTTCATCGTTTTTTTTCGTACAATGGGAACAATATCATAAGTATAATGCATTCATTAAGTAAGAGTACATAACTGATGGGTATGAAGAAATGAGTTAATATTGGGTAATGAATAAAATAGGAAACAATCAATTGATTAATTAATTAAATAAAGAAGTAATTATTCAAAATAAGACGTAGGTTTACACACACACCCAAATGGATAGCAGCTGATTGCAAATGAATTTAAAACCAAATAAAACTGCTGAAAATACGATCAAACATCAAAAGAAAGTAATAACAATCAAATAATGATAATAATAATATGCGCTAATTATAATAACGTTTAATGAATATAAACACGATGATGATGGCAGGGAGTATAGCAAATTAAGGCAGCAGAAACAGCAAAAGAAGAAAAACACGAAGATTAATATAATAAAATTAACAAGAAGAAGAATCAATGATAAAAGTGAAACAATATAATGATGATTTAAAATCCCTAAACGTTACGTTTAAATATTTGGTCGTCTTAATTTTCAAAATACATGTTTAAATATCTTTGCTACCCAACTATTTTTGCTAATCTCTGAATCAAAGCGTATCATCTGAACAAAATGTAAAGACGTTCTGCATTCTGGAAGAAGACACTTGAAGGATAAGGAGGAAGAGAAAGGCACATAATCCAGAGATTGCTCATTGATTCATTCCACATTACAGCAACACTTTTATGTATACTACAAACACATTCAAATAATACGTCGTATATGGCTATATATATGTGTGTGCACGATACTTACTATAATAAATAATATTATTAGTTAATTAATGAAACAACAGTATTAATGATAACACTAATAACGGACTAAGCAAACAATCAATCGCATGTTGCATAATAATCGATTCGTGTACGAATTTTGGCCGAAATTTGATCGATTTGAGATTCCAAATCAGCCACCGTTCCGTTGTATTCACCCAATCGCACGTCAGACGCATCCATATCCGCAGTTAGTTCTATAATTATCATTCTTCTTATTATTACTATCAAATAAATAAATACCATCATTATTATTAGTATTAGCATTATTATTATTATTATTATTATTATTATTATTATTATTATTTTGGATACTTACGCGATATATCGCTTCGATAACGCTGCGTCTTATGAAGCAGTTGCGTGGCTCGTTTACGCAACGCTTCAGCTCTCGCCTGTGGCTTTTCATTACCTGTTTGTCTTGATTGCAATAAATTCTTGGCGGTATTAAAGTCATTCTGAAATTCAATCAGTTAATACCAAATCAAATCAAATGATAATTTAACACGGAATTCATTTGAACTGGATAAACAGGAATCTATTTGCTTTGTGAAATCTGTTAGCTAAAGTCCACGAAGACTGATACTGAAATGGAAAAATACGAGAAATAATTATCGCTCATATCCTAACAACAAACAAAGAATTAACCAAATAAATGCGAAATAAAATAATTAATCAAATAATAAACTGAAGCAATAAGTAATTAACGAAATGCAGTTAAATTAAGTTGTGATTTGAAAAAAATTGAGTATTTGAAACCACAAATTTTCCTCACCAAATATATTTTTCGCCACATTTGACCACTAAAAGAATTTATATCTACTTACAATTTTCGCATTGCACCAACAACTAAATCTTAACACCCTCTTGCTGGTGTTCTAAGTTCAGTTCTTATCGGCTTCAGTTGTCCACTTATTGTCTATTATTATTTTAATAACCTTTAATTGTTCATTGGCTGCTTCAGCTAATGTTGCTTGTTGCATTGCTTTATCGGCCGCCTCATAGGCGTTCTTCGCATGTTCCGAAATTTGTAGATATTGCACACGTACATCCTTCATCTCATTCTCTAAGTCTCTTAACAAATCATTCGATTTTTGCGCTATCTCCTCGGCCGTTGTCGTCTGCTCATTCGCACTATCCAAATCCGTGCTTAAATTTAAATCGTATTTTTAAAAGCTTTTGCTAGAATTCAATTGTACCGATAAATATGGGACCATTATTATAGAGCTGAATTATTTGATGTATTTATAGAACAAATCTGTAACTTATACATACCGTGCCTCAGTAATTTGTTCCAATGCGTCATCAATTGCAATTTTGGCTGCTTCCTGCGCTTCTTGTGTCCGCTTCAATGCGTCTCGTACTGCGGTTGTAGTATTCCTTAAAATGATGCTATGATGATTTCTTTTAGTACGTGAAAAAGAATGAAGAAATACATGAATTGTGATTGTACACCTGTACATGCATGGAGAAAGTTGAATGAAAGTAATCAAAAAAAAGAAGATTTTCATGAACATATCAATCCTATTAACCCTTTAATGACCATCATAAAAATTTGATACTATTTCAACAAAACATCAGTAACAACTCAATTTGCCTCATCATCTTCGGATTGAATTTGCGCGAAGGAATCATGCAAACTGTTGGCTAGAGTATTACTAGTAAACGTTTATCAACGCTGGTTATGCCTGTGATTTGGAAGTTTTAATGATCTTCCTCACAGAAGAAGTACCCTAAATATAAACGAAAAAGCTCGTCTTTTCTTACTGAAATCAAACGTTTACAAATGGGCGCCAACAGGTTTACGGACTTTATCAATTCACGATACCTGATTTCTGCGGCTCGTTTACTCGCGGATTCTGCCGAATTTTGCAAAGCTCCAGCGATTGTCTTATTTCCACGTGTTTCATCCAATATACTATCGATGTTGTTGATCTTCATTAGATTCTCGCGAATCTGAATGCATAATTATTACTTGTGATAGTTTTTATCGTAATTCTACTTATTATTGTTAGCATTTTTATTATCAGCACGATTGTAGCTATCAATATTATCAGTATTACTGTTGTCATTGCCAAAATTCACACTTACTTGATCAGCTAAATTCTGTATTTGCTCAGGCGTTAAAGAAATGGTCATGTTTGTTATTTCATCAGCCACCGTACGAATCTCTTCTGCGCTTGAACGTTCACTGTCCAAAAACTCGTTGATTTCTTTGAGAATATTTTCGAGTGAATCACGTGTTTGATTCGCCTTAAATAGAATAGATATTTCACCAACATTATTATTATAATTACCACATATAAACAACTTTTATTATTGAATCATACTTGTTTTGCAGCATTTTCGGCAATGCCATAGGCGTCGTTCGCTTTACTCTTCGTCACAGATGTTTCCATCAAAATTTCACGCACGCGAGATAATATCTGTAAACGTACAAACATAAAAGTGACCACTACAATTATCAATAATAATAATAGTAATCTTAAAGAAAGAGATAAAGATGAGTAACAATAACGATTAAGGAAATACATCTTCAGCCTCCTTTTGTTTCTCATTCAGCTTTCGGTCAGCTTCATCGGCGAACTGAAGTGCTTGCTCAGCTTTGCTCACAGAGCCGTCTAGACACGATCTTCCACCACAATGGCCACAAGAGCCTGGTCCACCACACAATGCATCACAAGGAATTGATTCCGCACCACAAACATCTTTGTTTAGGCCTGGTAACACCGACTCGAAACTGCTCAACTGCAACATTATTTACCAATAACATAAAAACAATGAAAATAATAAACAATCATAATGCTAACACTATCAGATAATAATGATAACAACAACCTGTTCATCGATATGTTGCAATGCCATTTCATTTTCAGTGAACTGTTTCTCAAAGTCCAACTGATTCTTATCAAGGAGAGATTCCGCTTCTCGCCTGTCACTCTCCGCACTTGCTATCTTTGCAACTGCATCATCTGTGCGACGTTTCGCTGCCGCTGACTTTTCGGCTGATTCACGACTGATATTATAGGCACCCTGAAAAAGTAATTATAAGAGTGCTAATAAGAATAACAATACGATAATAACAATAATAGTAATAATAATATAAAAAATATATTCACCTGAACATCAGCCTCCCTTAATAAAGTCGCATTTTCGTTTAACGCTTGCGCACGTGCAGTTAATTTTTCAGCAATTTCCAGCAGTGATTTCAATTCCTCTTCGGCACTATCAACCGCACTTGTCGTATCTGTGATACGCTTTCCGACACTATTCAAACGATCCTTCTCAGAATTCACCTTTAATCATTTTAATTATCAGTAATTACATCAATAAAAATAATAATAACAATAACAATAATAATAATAATAACAATAATAATAATAATAGTAATAATAATAATTTTAATAATAATAACAATAGTAATAATAATAATATTAATAATAATGACAATAGTAATAATGATAATAATAAAAAATAGCATTTCTTCTCATCATGATTTGGAAACTGAACGATATGTTCTCCCACTTTGATTAATTTATCCGTTTTCACCTTTGAAAGGTCGACGATAAAAACTGTGTCTTTCAAAAAATGAAAAGATGAAACAACTACAGCGCAATGCAATGCAGTTACGTTCGAAGTTAGAACCTTTTCAAGGAGAGAATCCATTTGCTGCTGAAGATCGTCAACGTCAGCCTTTGTGATATTAGCAGATTCGAGTTGCGCTTTTACATCAGCAAGACTTTGTTCCATTTTTTCGAACGCATCATCGTAAACCGATGTAACACCCGTATCTTCGATATTGTTCGCTTTATCTTCAAACACAAAAAACTTACCAGCATTGCTAGCGATTATTCTCAACTCAACAATCGAATCGTTTCATGATGCTCATTTTTTAGCCGTTTTCTTCCTCAGAAAAGTTAAGTGAGAATAACCTTCTACATCGCCTCCTCTGTGAATATTGAATTAACTGTCAAGATTAAATTTTCATGAAAACAGTTGGATGCCTAGTGCAGACTTCAAAGAGTGAATACGTAATTGGTTCATTTGTGGTTGATTAGTACAGTGAAACTAAATCCGATCAATTAAATGGCAGTCATACAATAAGAATAATCAAACACCAAGTATCATTAACGCTAAATTTCGTTAAACTTACCAATAAGAGTTTCGACTTGTGCCTTTAAACTTTGTATAATTTCGTCCCAATTTTTGAAGCATTCACCACAAGCCTCACAGTGTGGCCAATTGCCTGTATAGCCACGAGCACACTCGTTACATAGTGCACCTTAACATTTAATTATTCACATCATATTATGGCTATAATGTTATGCAGTTTTGATTATGATCGCTCTAATTAATAACTACGCATAAAGATATTACCTCCAGATCCGGGTAAGCAAATACAAGTTCCGTTATTTCGATGACACTGTTGTGAGGCTGAGCCAATCGGATCACATTCACATCGCTTGCATTCACCAGCCATTGGATCACCCCAATAATAATCTTCGCAATCCGAGCTTAAATTTTTATGATTTCGGATATTTTGAATCTTTGTTCCAATAACTGTTTTTAAAAAGCTTGTTTAACCAAATAAATAAACAATCAAGAAAGTGCTACCAAGTACGACCGCCTCTTCCTCTCTTACACGGACATCGTCCATCGAACTGATTACATTGCAATTCCGGTTTTCCATCTACGTCAAGTAACACACCATTTGGATCACAACTACACGCCTCACATCCTTTGCCTGATTAGTTTCACCACTATTATTAATATTATTATTATAATTATCATAATTTTAATTCCTATTGCTACTATTATTGGAGATTTAAAGAATGAACGAATAAAAAATAAATGACTAAATAACTAAACAAATAAACGATTAAGTAATGGAACCCGTATATGAAAGAAGAAAGGAAAAAAATTTGACGAACTAAAAGTGAATCACATACCACTAGCCAAGTCGAAATGCTGTGGTGCACATACATCACACTGTTGTCCAATAACATTCGGCAAACATACACACTGTCCACTGACGCGATCACACGCACCAGCTGTTCTGTTTGTACCAAGATCATTGCAAACACATCTGTAATTCGACTTACATTTGACATCGATTCGCTACTGATACTTTAACTGACTGCCCACTAGATCGAATGCTCAACGGCTTCTTCAACTGATTCACTAATTAAACGAGTACAAAGAAGATAGTTTTCTTTGAACTTATCACAATTATTCAGATAAATGAGAGAATTACCGTTGACAAGATCTAATTTTTGCATCACCAAAGTACCCATCCATGCAGTTCTCGCATTGTTGTCCTTCCGTATGATGTAAGCATTTCAAGCAGTCGCCTGTCACCGCATCACAACTGTTCTCTACCGATAAATCTATATTTCCGTTACAATCACATCGTTCACAACTTCCACCTAATTCGTTCGGATTACCCCAGTGATTGATCGCGCATGATGCACATCGTTCACCCGTGTAACCTGACCTAAAATTAACTCAAATTTTTGTTACCATTTAATCAGATAGCAGTTTGATTCAGTTCATGCACGAATTATTTAATAGTTGCTGGATGTAAATTACAAAGAGGTGTAATGAAACAAAAAACGAACTTGCAATTACAAACGACATCTGGTGATTCTGAATCCGTACCAGGTCTTAGATAGCATGTATCAGCGTGTTGGAAACCACTGTCTAGTCCACCTGGGCATGGACACGGTTTGCACGGTAAGTTAACACCCAATCGAGGATCACCATAATAACCATCCTAGGAAATGCATCTGACTCATTCAAGGAACACACAATATTGTTTCAGTCCCTTTCATCAGAAACATTTCATTGAAACGATATGTGAACATATAATTAAAAACGATGATCTGTTTGGCATGAAAGGTATGCAATGAAGTCGTCACGAGCACACAAACGTCCAGTGGGACGAGAACATAGACAGACCCATTGGTAAAATTATTCAGGTGAATTTGATTACGTAAGACAAAGAGTTGAATGACCTAAACGATGTGCTCAGTTAAAGATTGTCAATAAGGAAAGTCATCAAATTGTGGGAAGGAAGCACAGGTCGGATAAACATAAAGAAAGGTGAAGGTGACAGTAATGATAACAAAAACGAGAATAACAATAAATAACAAACCTTGCATCGATCGCAATAGTAACCGTCAGTTAGATCTCGACATTCGATGCAAGCACCCGTCTTTTGATCACAAATCGAAGCATGATCATTGCACTGACAAACACGACAGTCTGGGAATGACCAAAAGCCTGGCTGACATTGATTGCACTGCCTGAATTACAACGAATTACCATGATGATGACGATGAATGAGAACAAATAAATAACTATCAGTATGATCAATATAAACATCCAACCTTCCGGTGATACCACGCTCTCGACATAAGCACTGTCCACTTTGCTTATCACAAATGTTATTTAACGATCCAACACTGTCGCATTCGCATGCCGTACAACCCGACGGACCGAAGCCATACGTGCCGACCGCACAACGATCACATCTACAGTGAACATATACATATTATACCGCAAACATCATTTATTGTGAAAAAGAAACAGAACAACAACACAAACCTTCTACCAACAACATTCGGTTTACAATCACACTGTCCACCTTTAGCGGTACAAATACCGGATACAGAACCAGTTGCATCACAATCACATTCCAAACTTTGATTGAACACTATTGCAGCAACTGGACAAATGTAACGTGAGCATACTTCAGAGAGATCGGTTAAAGGTGTTAACGATAAGGCTTGATTACGACATTGATAACGATCAAATTCCAATCTGCAAACTGTTCATTTAAAATCTTATTATCATTATTATGCTCATGAATAAAAGTTCGCACAAGTGTTCGGAAAAGAAAGAACCCAGCTGAAGATTTTTAGTGAATCATTTCCCTCGCAGGAGCGAGAGAATTCTCAATTCCCGCAGATGCACCTGCAAGGCGAGGATTCTCCAAATGGAAACCTCTGCAGAGGCGAGGGATTTTGAAGCCGCCATGGGCCCCCACCCTTTGTTCGTACCTTGCGAAATGATTTTCTGACGTTTTTGGAGCATTTTTTCATTACTATAGTGCAGACTGCTATGAGCCTCGGGTTGCTGTGATAAAGTGTTCAGATTTTTGTCGGAGGATGGCGAAAAGTCATTGTAAGGGGACACAATATGTGACTATATCATCACGACGTACGCCTTGGACTAGTCAGTGCAACTGAATGATGAACCGGAAAGACAATCTAGCGCTCATTATGGGGTCTGAAAAATCAGAATTGTCTTTGTATGGTGCTCATTATAGATACAATACTTGTTTTGTTCTTTCTTCATCATTGGTATTACGAATTTAATGAAAACTTATAACCAGCGATGCTCAAATTTCAAAAAAATTCCGAGGATTTTTGAAGAAAAGGATTTCACAGAGGTTCCTTCCGACCAGCCGTGACGATTCACGCCCGTGCGGGGGAATTTCACGGGAAGCTTCGTGGGTACATCCACAGAAGGAGTTAGGAGGGGGATTGGTCCAAATTCTTAGTACTACTCCACAGTGCACGAACGATGTTCGGAACATACCGATGTTGTTCAGCATTAGCGGATCCTTTGAAAATTGGTAATACGTCAGTGGGTGGTGCCAGTACAATTGAATCGATTAGAATCGCGGCTGAACGATCTGGAAAACCGGTGCGTTTTTCACCCATTTGAAAACGAATCTCATAACGTACGCCAGCCTCTAGACAAACGTCAGGCTTCACCTAAAATACAACAATAAAACGTTTACTAAACTTCTTATGAATGCACCCTCTCAAACTCTATTAAAAGTTCAACGACAACCATATTTATCAAAGTATTATTGTAGGTAATTACTCATATAATATACATACAAACCAATAAAAATTTTATTAACGAAAATAAAAGTGATAGCAACAAGAATTTCAGAAATAATCTGAATTATTTGTTAACCTCAACAAAACGTCCTCCAGGATGGAATCTAACTATCAAGAAGTCATCCGATGGTAACGAGTTACTGCAAGGTCCATCTGGTGATGGATCACCGGGACGTACAACTGTTAATTGCGCATTCTCCCAACCAAATGGATCCTGAGAATGTTGCAACTCATATTAACAATGAATAAAAATAACTCCATGAAAAAGAAAACTAAAATTAACATCCACGAATCACCATAGCCCATTTATGGTTTACTTCATTCATTATAAGCTCTCAAGTGGTACCCTTTAGACCCTACGAAGATGCAACACAACATTTAATTGATTTCGATGATTATACAACTTTCATTTCTCTCATTTTGGAATACACATAAGATAAATATTACTGAGCAAATCTCAATAATAAGAAACAAAAATAAATACTGAAACAATTCAAGAATAAAAACCTGTTGTGTTTGCTGATAACGAATAATGATATTGTATTGCATACTCTGTACGAGATTGTCGATGATAAACGTTAGCGTTGTACGTTCATTTGCACGAACGAATCCTTCACCTGTCCACGTTCGATCGCGTGCATACAATGGATATTCTCGTGGTTGCACTTCAGCATTCGTGATATTCTCAGCGTTTTCCGCTTCATACGTATAATGATCGATTGCCGCACAAAAATATGAACTATCTGCCGTATCACAACGACGTCCACTGAAGTGCTGACGACATTGACACTGTCCACTGATTATGTCACAGTTATTATCAAACGCACCTCCCAAATCACAATCGCAACGTCGACAACCATCCGCCTCTTCACTCAACCCGTAGTGTTCTGGCTAAAAAGCTTCTCATTGCTTTCTTCACTAAACGAATGCTAAATTCGATCAAATCAAACGAATCTACTCACCAAACATCGATCACAATTCTCACCAGTCACTAAACGTTTACAAAGACATTCTCCAGTTCGTTTATTACATCCCTCATTATTGTAGGTTCCTAATAGATGACAAGTGCATGCACGACAACCATTTGCATCATCTGCTTGCAACGACCAAAATCCATTCTTGCAACGATCACATCTTAATTTTGTTCTTTTCATCTCTATTCCTATTGTCATTGTTTTTGTTATTATAAATATATTGTCATTATTACGAGTATTACTGTTATTATTATTATTTTAACTATTCACATAAATGAATAACAAACAAAACAACATATACCTCGGTCCATCGACATTACTTTTACAATAACATTTACCAGCAACCAAACCCCTTTCTGGATCCTCCTCACCTTCACAAATTCCATCATTTAATGAGCCAGCCTTAATATAATTCACATTTCCCAAATGAATTGAGTTATTGCCATTATTATTGTTATTATTATCATCAATATTATTGTATATCGAATAATAAACGAAGTTATGAGCAAATAATCGCATGAATAAGTAAATGATGACCTTATCGCATTCACACGGCAGACAAACGTACGGATCTGTGATGGGTCTTTGTGGATTTCGATAGAAGTAAGGCTTACACTGCTCGCAGTTCTTACCCTGTGTATTATGCATACATTCATCGCAAACACCACCCGAGACAAATCCTTCAATTCATTGTTTTTAATTCTTAGCATAATTAGGGTTTAAAATTGAGCTTGAGTAAAGACTCATTAACGATAATATTATCAACAACGGTAACAATGATAAAACCTGAAGATTGATAGAGAGCGCGATCGAAATGACATCTAGCCGCATGCCCATTGCAGTCACAACGTTTACATTCGTTTGAGTCGTCACCAATCGCCGGCCTCCATGGTAAATCATTGAAGAAATCCATACACTGCTCACAGTTCAAACCTTTTGTATTATGTGTGCATTCACATCGACCGTGAACCTCAAGATTTTATTATTATTATTATTATTATTATTATTATTACTGTTATCGTTATTAACTTGAATATTATCAGATATGATGTTTTAAAATCGAGAAAAAGGAAATAAACTTTCTAACCATATCAGGACGGTCGGGCACCATAGCATAACGACCATTACCTTCAATCGGTATACAACGCTGCGCATGACCATAACATGAGCATGATCCGCGCACAACTAGCTCATACACTGCATAGTAATATTTCTCATCTATTTCCGGTCTGCAACCAATAAACATCTCATAATAATAAACACCTTATTTTTTTACCTCTACCAAAACAACGTCTCTTCCGCATCTTTTCTTTTTTTTTGAACTGAAGATTTTGCCGATTTTTGAGGGCCTCTAACTGCGGTTCGTTTGAGAATTTCAATCATTGTCATTTAATGGGTCTTGCAGTGATCACTCGAAAAATGTCACTTTCCTGTACAGTTAATGCACAATATTCATCAACGCACGATACACTTGCTAATGAACTTGTAACTTCGCAAGCACACTTTGCAAAACTCTATGCTAAATTTTAACCAATCGATTCGTTATAAGGACTGCCAAAAATCAAGGCCGGAAGCATATTGCAAAAGCGTGGATATGTTGAAATTCTCAGTTCATTCATTAAAAACAAGACAACTGCATAACAAATTCTTACAAATAAACGTAAACAAACCTGTAATCAAGAAGATCATCACCGAGTGTGTGCAATTTCGTAAAATTAATTCTTAAATTGGTTACTTTCAGCAAATTCGCAATTTCATCTGAGTACGGGTTTTCGGTTCGAATATGCGGTGAGATTACTTTGTAGACCAACTAAATAGTCACATATTCATTCTAGTCAAAAATATATAAGTGACTGTTACGAAAATAGTAAAATTAAAAAAATCACGATTATTTTTATTACCAAAACCAAAACAACGTCCTAATAAAAATAGATTATTTTTATTAGGTGTCACTATTGGTACTTTTAATGGTAGGTATTGTTCCTAATTATTATTGCTATTATTATTATTATTATTATTATTATTATTACTATTACTATTAACATCATTATTACTATCATTATTAACTCACTAACCTCACCACCAGTAGATGGCGCAACGTCACTATATTTTCGGGTACAAATAACATCTGAATGCTTTTTTGGTGGACCCTCAGGGATATTTGGGTACGTACTTGCGCAATCATATGCAAAATAACGATACGGCGACCTGAAATCAACAAGCAATTTAACGAATAATTCTTATTGAAAATTTAGTTGTCATATATAATGTTATCATTATTGCCATCAATAGGTGATAAATTTTCACGCTTCCTAAATTTCCATTTCAGGTAGCTTTCAGATTGACAATTTGAGCAGGAATAAAGGAGGTCAAACTAATGCTTTGATAAATAACACTGATGATGATAATAATTATGACAATAATTATGATAATAATTATAACAAAAATTGTGATAATAATTATGATAATAACAATAATAATAATAACAATAATAATAATAAATAATAATAACAATAATAATAATAATAATAAGAATAAGAATAATAATAAGAATACTGAATGCCTAAATGACGTTTACCATGTTTTGCCAAAATCAGCAGATCTTTCAATGATCATTGCGGCTGGCCGAAAGGATTTGAATGTCATAATCAAATGCGTGAAATGGAATTCAGCCTCTAAGTCCAATCGTATCGAAACATTTTGAACACCATTTTCAGATTGCCACCAATTACGATTCCGATCTTCGAATGATTCCGAGACAACATTCTCGATTCTGAATAATTCTTATCTTTTTATTTGCATTAGTCAACAAATGAAAACTTTTCTGATTCTCAAACAGGGACTCGAACCCTGACCTTTCACGCATTGGGCATGCACTCTAATCGACTGAGCTACTGCCGACCCAACACCTCGTCACTTATATTTGCAGATAGCCTGATCAGAACTTGGCCAGAATGCAAGTTCAAGTGCTCCTTAGAACTACTTCTTCATTCGTGGTCTAATAGTAATATGCAGCATAAGACGTCTAAGCCACTTTTGCAATCGGCTTAAAACGCTCAACGGAAACGAATAAATAACCAAAAAGTGAATAATTAAACAAACAAGACAAAAACAAGCCTATGACTCAGTCGATGTGGTTCTCGATGTGGTCTCCATTCGGTTCGACTATCACAATAAAAGCATTTGGTTTGTTCTTCCAAATGTGATACAATACAGTAACGTTGACGACCATATAAACCACATGTTGATGAAGCACTTAGGCGATGTTTACGACCAACCAACAAATTACCAGTAGCTGGATAGCAAGATCGCTCGCTGCATAAATCTTCTTCTGCTGAAGAAAAAAGCGATGTTCACACATCAATTGAAAAATTCATCGTATCATCACTTTATCATATTATAACAACTCATCTTCGTCCATGCTCAGCTCTACGATGTAGTCTCACTCCTTTTCTACACTCACAAAGGGATTCATTTCATACCCAACAGATGGATCAGTTTCGTGAGACGTTCTTTTGCTTCTTCGGTGATGTACTATTAATATAAAATACTCAGAATAAACTGCTACTCACCATATTCAGCGTTCAATACTGTTGTTGTGAAAGCACAAATAACGACGAGTACAACATAGAGCGGCGGCGATTCGATTGGTAGTGATCGCCTGATGGAAGTACCCATTGTACTAAAAACAATTACAATTTACTGTTACTAATTGTAATAGTAACAGAAACAGCAACAATAACAATAATGATCATAATAACAACAAAGATCATAACAAGCAAATCCACTCATTAGGAAACGATCAAAAAAACTTATAAGAACATGTAGCATGAAAAGAAAATCATTTTTCAATTCTCATAAAGTACTTTCAAGTAGTAACAATTGTAAAATGAGATCAACAATCGATCAGCTAACTAGTAAGCAAACTAGCATCAATATGATTTAGAATCAATCCATAATCTATTTTCAAAATTTGTACTCATAACACAATATCTATCTGTCCACCTATCTATTTATGAATCTACCGAAATGAACTAAAATATATCCTCTCATCTCAAAAAAAAAAGGAATATTTGCTATTCACAATAGTACATATCGCTAGCTAACTATAGTTAGCTGTTCAATAGCAACATCAATGGCATATAAATACATACATATTATTATAACATCTGCAGTGGGTGCTTCACATTTTGCACTATTTTTTCTGCGTGATTTAGATATTATATACATACATTAAACCATCTTTTATTGTTTTCATTCGTTCACAGTATTTTAGAAATTCACTATCTTGTTTTATACTATATCAAAGCTGGACAATTAACCTATTCAGACAAGTCATTTAATCACAACGCTTGAAAACAATGAAAGACATAAAAATCGCTTTATAACATTCCATCCATTCATCGAACTTACTCATACATTCATTCACAAAATGATTTTATATCTTTCTTCGCATAATAGTATTGATAATAACGATAATGATAACAATAGTAATAATGATAGTAACAGTAGTATTAATAATAATAATAATAGTAATAATAATAATAATAATAATAATAACGACAATTATTGCTTCGAATCTAACTAAAATTCAACGACGCAATCGACGCACACCAACAACGAGCATAGCACAGCAATAGCTGCATGTTCATTTATTAGCCATTCATCAACTAGCTTCATCCCGTCCATCGGTCGGCTGTTAATGTTACTGCTGTTGCTGTTCAAAATTCAATCAAATCTCATTCTACGACTGCTCACTGTTCTCTTCTGCTCACTGACTGTAATTTTATCTTTCTTTAATATATCTATCTCATCCATATTACTCATCCATCCATCAATTTATATACATCCGCTTACTTTCATACCAATCGATCCAGCTGTCGAACGGTTTCGAACTGCTTTATCAGATCAGTATCATTTATTTTTTGCCATTTCCTCACTTTGTAGTATCTTTGACAAATCAGTCAGGGTGCATGAACGGCTATTTGATTACAAGTCATAAGCGCAGGTTAGTTTCAAGCCTAGATCGGAATGAATCGAACCGCAACATAAGGAAGAATCAAGC